CACCGATCAACTCATCGACTTGGGTGCTCCTGACAATTCTATCCATGTGCAACACAAACAGGATAGGGGACAGGACGCAGCCTTGGCGGACACCAATGCGAACGATGAATGGTTTCGACTTAACGTCATTTACTCTCACGCAGCAGCTCTTATCAGATACAGTGATTGGATGGCTTTCAGCAGCTCGCCATCCATCCTGCATACTCGAAGGCATTACCATAGACTGCTTCGTGGAATTCGGTCGTAGGCTTTTACTAAGTCAAGAAAGCGCATGTATACCGGACGGGCGTACTCCTACGATTTCTCAACAATCCGGCGCAGGGAAAATATATGGTCAGAGTTGTTTCGACCGGGCAGGAAGCCACACTGCTCTTCTTGTATTTTAAGGTCACCTATTTCGCGGCTCCTCCTTTCTAACGCCTTTGCGTAGACTTAACGCGTTAATGCTCCTATAATTAGAGCATTCCTTGTGGTCTCCCATCGTGAATAAAGGTGCAATAACTGCCGTTCTCCAGTCCGCGGGTGTTTTTCCCGCAGTCACAGCAGTTTCATAGACGCATATGAGCCAGCACATGCCCTTTTATCTAATGCTTTGAGCATTTCAGCGCAGATTTCATCGATTTCAGCAGCCGTTTCATTTTTAAAGCCTTCACAGCTTGTGTAATTTCATCTATAGAAATAGTTATATCCATTCTCTGCCGATCTAAAGGAGAGTCTTTCTGCGCTTCTGCGGGGTTAGGTAGTTCCTCGAAGCAGTCCCTCCATAGCCGAAGAATATCATCATCCTTGGTAAAAAGGTGTTTAGACGTGTCCTTCAAGACTCTCAGACGGCTCTTCGTTTCACCTAGGAGACGGCGGATGGTCTGCCGCTATACTTTGTTTGCCCCGTGGAAATTCGACTCCAACTCCTCACCGAACTTTTCTCAGCAATCAGCCTTGACTTTCGCCATTGTTTTCGCTGCCGCGTTGCGTGCCTCGACATATCGCACGCGTGTAGATGGCTCCTTGCTTCCAAGCCATTTCTTGAACGCTGCTTTCTTCTCTTTAACTGTCACTTGTACCTCTCTTGTCCATCAGGAGTCATTTTCTGACCTCCAGGGTGAGGCAGACTAACCCGTTTATATCCGCAGCATTCAGCGGCAGCACTTAAACAGTTGCCACTCGGTTTCAATATCAGTTGTCATCGCTGGGATCTGTTCAAACCGTCGTGCGATGTTGTTTGCAAATTTCGCTCTCCTGTCCACCGAAGACAATGTTTCCCATTTGATCTTCCGATTGCTTCTGCCACCAGATCTTCCTATGGTACTCCATTTCTTACAGCGCAGCGTGCTAACAACAAGGTGATGATCGATTGATAGGTCTGCGCCTCTTTTAACACGAACATGCATTACTGAGCGTCTTAGGTGAGACGATAGAATTATCAAATCGATCATCGACTTCTGCGCACAAGCTTCCCGGTACCAGGTATACAGGTGCACTCTTTGATACCCGAAGAAGGTGTTCATAATGGGCAATCCACTGTTCGCACAAAACCGCAACACGTTATTGTTGAGGTCGCTAGGGCAGTTGTTTCCAATCACGCCGTTCTACTTTTCAGCGTCTACTCTAACATGCGCATTAAACTCGCCCATCAGTATGAGGGACTCTGTATTCGGCACTTCATACAGAGCACAATGCACTTCCTCAAGGAAGGTATCATATTCTCCCTCCAAAATTGGCGCATAGGCCTGTACGAAGGTCAGCGCTTAAGCCTGTTGTAACTTCCGTCGACCCTTCCGTTGACAGGCAACCAATCGATGATTGTATCTGCGAGATTGGGTTCTACCAGAACACCAACACCGACCTGAGCGCGCGTCGTGATATCGACACCTGAGTAGAACAGCTTCCACCCGTTGAGGTTCAGGATTTCATAGCCGTGGCGTTTCGCTGACGAGAGTCTAACAATGTCGAGTTGATACTTTATGGCCTCATCAGCTAGCTCTTGTTCTTTCCCTCTCAGTGAGGATATGTTGCAATTTCCGACTTCAAGCTCCCACTGGCGGTGTCGGTATCGTGGAGCCTTTTCTGACGTGCTATAGTGGCATCACACTGTTTGCCTCTTCCGCTCAAAGCGGGTAGCGACTCCTTTGTTGACTTGTATTTTCGTCGTCGTTCCGTCGGTCATTGTCAGCCGTTGTTGTGCTGCTACGCCCCCGGCTGGCAGAGGGCGATGATCAGGATTTGATCGCCGTCTTTTCTTAGTCTGCCTCAGTAACTCAGCAGTCTGTGCGGCCTTTGGTAACCCGGGCAACGACCGAGCCGGTATAATCTTCGATGGTGTGAATACCGTGAGTGGCAGGTAGCTAAATTTTATGGAGACTTTGCCCCGATCTCCAATCCTCCTCCTTTCTTAACCATGCCCGGGATCACCAACGGCGGAGTTCCCAATACTAAGCAACCCATGATAATCAGCAACTTTAATAAAACCTTGAAAAACAGTACAGATTTAGTCCTTCTTCGGAAATTCTGGGGGCATGCAACTATGGATTTCTTCTGTTTATTATGTGACTAAACATTGATAAAAACAAAGTCACCTTTTGTCGTCATCAGTTGCAATCCTATGACACGTTTCTTCAATGAAATCCATAGCGGCAAACTCAACTGTACCAGGCAATCTTTTGATAATGAGCTGCTACGATGCAGGTACGGAGATGCAATCCAAACTCAAGTGCCACAACTACCGGAAGCTCGTAGAGAAATAAATCATGCTTCTCCAGGCGAAACGTGTCTTTAATTGTCTGAAAAAGAATTGCAAAAAAACTAAAATAGTCTGGAATTGCAAAATGCTCATTATATTGAGATTACCAGATGATTATGATTCATGTCTACGTAGCCATAAATTAAACGGAAAGAGAAACACATCGAAGGATTTGGCTCTATGGCTGCATCTGAAAACATATTAGAAAAAAATACCATCCATACCTCAACTCTGTCAAATTATTAGAGAAACGCCCATAAAATTATTTTCGCTTTCCGTTTTGTAACGGCAAG